GCTCTAGTGGCTGCGTTCGCATGCGTCCGCGCCGCACATGTCGTGCCTCCTCACACGCTCTTCGGCACCACAGGGAGCTCCACCGACGGCCCCAATGGTCACGTTCGCATGCGTCCGTGCCGCACATTTCGGCGCCCTCTCACCCTCTTGTTGGCCCCATAGTGAGCTCCATCGAAGGCCCCGGTAGAGTCGTTCGCATGCGCCCGCGCGCCACACCCCTCACACGTGTCGTGGCCCCAGAGAGATCTCCTTTTGAGGCTGCAGTGGCGAGCTTCGCATGCGCCCGCGCTGCACATTTCCGCGCACCGCTCACACGTTTCGTGGCCCCATGAGGAGCTCCACCGAAGGCCCCAGTAGCGACGTTCGTATGCGTCCGCGCCGCGCATGCCGGCACACCCCTCACTCTCTTCGTGGCCCCATAGGGAGCTCCACCGAAGGCTCTAGTGGCTGCGTTCGCATGCGTCCGCGCCGCACATGTCGTGCCTCCTCACACGCTCTTCGGCACCACAGGGAGCTCCACCGACGGCCCCGATGGTCACGTTCGCATGCGTCCGTGCCGCACATTTCGGCGCCCTCTCACCCTCTTGTTGGCCCCATAGTGAGCTCCATCGAAGGCCCCGGTAGAGTCGTTCGCATGCGCCCGCGCGCCACACCCCTCACACATGTCGTGGCCCCAGAGAGATCTCCTTTTGAGGCTGCAGTGGCGAGCTTCGCATGCGCCCGCGCTGCACATTTCCGCGCACCCTCACTCGCTTCGTGGCCGCACAGGGAGCTCCACCGAAGGTCCCGATGGCGATGTTCACATATGCCCGCGCAGCAAAGGTCAGCACACCCGTCACACGCGTCCTGTCGTGGCCCCATTGGGAGCTCCACCGAAGGCCCCAGTGGCGGCTTTCGCATGCGTCCCCCCACCCTCTAATCGGATTTCAGGCCCCAGGGAAGGGGGAAAGGGGGAGAGGGACAGCCAATCATCTCACACGCCGTGGCACCCCCAGCAAGCGGAGGTCGGCGGATGACGGGAAGCGCCGTCTCGGAACGAGAAGGTGATGGGATTTTTTTAGCATTTCTAAGTGAAGTATGAATAATGAACAAACTCGCGAGGGACAATTGACTACCGATTGTACATGTTGATGCGTTGGCGGATTCCGCTCAAAATGGCCGTTTCGCCTGAGAAATCTTCGAAAAAGTGAGATGTTCAAGCCGTTTAGTTGAGACGTCGTTTGTTAACCTTCTCGGAACGAGAAGGTGATGGGAGTTTTCTAGCATTTCTAAATTAGGTATATAAAGAAGAAACTCGCGAGGGACAACTCACTCCCGAACAGACTCGCAAATTCCCGACAAGCCAAAAGCAATGAACATGACACTTGTGATTTAACATTGCTCTCAGAGCAGTCCAGCCCGACGCGCACCTCTGCCAACGGCTTCGAATTCCCAAGCGTAATTTAACCGTGATGTGACAGCCGCCGACAGCTCCCGCCTCGCGAACGCACCCATCGCCATCGCAGCGCGGCGTTGTAGTAACCCGTCGCCATGGAAACAAGGGGAACAAAAAGTGACATAAACATAAAAACTCGGAGGTCCGCGCGGATTTCTCGGATCGGCGCTGGACCCCCCTCCCTGGCGCGCGGAGCGCGCCAGGGGCGGCGCCGGAGGCGCCGCCGGGGGGCCCCAGCGCCGATCCGAGACATCCGCGCGGACATCCGAGTTTTTATGTTTATGCCATGTTTTGTTCCCTTAAACTAACAAGCAACAGTGCGGTGTTTCTCAGGTCCGATGTACTCTCAGAGTGAGCCTGTCCGTGGCGCGCGCGCAGCCTGGCAAGGTGCCTGCACGGCTCGTGGGCTCTCAGGCGTGCGGCTAGATGCAAACGCGCGGTGGCCCATCTCCGGTTGTACATATCCTGGCGAGCGTCGGGCCCCCGCCTCGGGGTCTCCTCCTCCTCCTCCTCCTCCTCGTCCTCCTCCTCGTCCTCGTCCTCCTCCTCCTCCTCCTCCGCCTCCTCCTCCTCCTCCTCCCCCTTCTCCCCCTCCTCCCCCATCCTGCTCCTCATCCTGCTCCTATTTGGAGATGCTGACGGTCATCGTGTCCATTTCGCTCAGGCCGCCTTCCTGCGGTGAACTGTTGCGCAGGTCGTGACGTGTTCGTAGACAGGTTCATCTCAGCAGGGACAGCCTCGAGCAAAACAATGGTTGCTGAATTCTAGTGATGGTCACGCCTTTCGCTAAATGTTGACGCCCTCGCTGTGACCATCTTCGAGATACCCCACCTGTCACCTTCTCACCCCCGCACCCTCCGAACATGTCCCGCTCGCACGCAATCCCTGCCGCCTCACTGCACCTATTACCTAACGCGTACCCTATGTTTGTAACACACGTCGACACACACACACAAGCAGGCGGCTGAGGTAATCCCAGCGAGTGCACTACATGTGCGCGCAGTGATGTTAAGTGAAAGTCTGTGCGCGCATGCGCACGCAAGCTTAGGCAACCACTTAGCTCTGAGAATCTCGGAGGAGTAATCACAGCAACCACAGGCAACCACTAAGCTCGGAGAAGCTCGGAGAAGTAACCATAACACCGCAAGAAACCAGTAAGCTCGGAGAAGCTCGGACAAGTAACCAGAACAACCACAAGCAACTACTAAGATTGGTGAAGCAACCACTAAGTTTGGAGAAGCAACCACAGACAACCACTTAGTTCGGAGAAGCTCGCAGAAGTAACCAAATCAATTTCAGGCAACCACTTATTTCTGAGAAACTCGGAGAAGTAACCAGAGCAAACAAAGACAATAACTCAGCTCGGAGAAGCAACCGCTAAGCTTGCACAAGCAACCGCAGGCAACCACCAAGTTCTGAGAAGCTCGGAGAAGTAACCAGAGCAACCACAGGCAACTACTGAGCTGGGAGAGTCAACCACTAACCTTGGAGAAGCAACCACAGGCAACCACTAAGCTCGGAGAGGCTCCGAGAAGTAACGAGTATCCAGAGCAACCGCTGGCAACCACTAAGCTCGGAGGAGGAGAAGGATGGGGAGGAGGCATGGCCAGCGCGGCAGACCAGCACGGCAGACGAGCGCGACACGCCAGCGCGGAGATCTCTGGTGTGCTCGATCAGACGTTATCTGACAAGGCTTGTGGGCAGAGCGGCGCTTCCCGTTCTTGTCCAGACAGGTTCCTCCTCTTCCGTGCCCTGGACCGTGAGCGTCGGGAGCACGATGGAACCTTCGGGCTCGTGCCGTTCTCGGGCCACTTCTACGGAGGGGGCAGGATTTGTCTGCCTTGCCACTGGGGCGCAGAAGCGGGCGTGTGTAATACAATCGGTCCGAAGTGTAAGATCGAGGTCGGTTCGGGGAGGGCACCCTACTGTTCTTCTCGTTTGCTGGATGTTCGTGTGCATCCTGGGGAAGGACACCCTTGCATGTTCTGTGTGCTTTGGCCGGCGGAGGCTCGCATGTTCTTGAGAGGTCGTCTTCTGTCCTAGGTCCAGCCGCATCGTTTTCCTTTCCCTTGTCCGCCTTGCCCCTGCTGGCAGTGCCCCTCGAAGCTCGAAGCTGCGGACTGAGTCGCCATGAAGGGTCGAAGCCCTCGACCCCTCCCCACCGGTGGTGCCGGGGGGAGGGCAGATAGAAGACAAGAAGTTGGAGAGGAGAAGGGAAGGACTGCACGCCGGACGCGACGTATGCTGTCGAGGAAACAGGGTCGACCCACGAACACGGAGAGGAATATAGAAATGTAAGGCATGGCAACGTTTCAAAGATTTTCAAGAAAACAATCTTCATTGTGCAAAACAAGCGCGAGGCTCGAGACATCCTCGAAATCCCTGCGCGCGGGATGCGCCATCTTCGAGCGGGCACACAAACAGTCGACATGATCGACCCACGAACCCGGAAAGGAATATAGAAATGTAAAGGCACGGGATCGTTTTCAAGACACCTGATTGGGCGACGGGCAAATGCAATGCTGAGCGTATCGTTCTTGATGTACCGTGCCGAGGGCTGCGCTGTGCTGCGCCGGGCCGAATTGCGATGTGCCGTGCCGCGATTGTGCTCTCATAGGGTTGTGGATCGAGTCCTCCTCTGCATCCGAGTCCTGGCCGAAGAGAACTGGATCTTAAGCTCGAGCTGCCTGAGCACATAGTGGCTGCCCCAGAGCTTAGTGACAGGGGGACATGCGAGGCCCAGGAGGACGCACCGCGGAACGTCCAGATTGACGCGCCAGGCGACGTGCCAGGGGACGTGCCATGGGGACGCACCGCAAGACGTGTCGAGGGGACGCGTTACGGAACGTGCCAATGGACGTGCCACGGGACGCGCCACGGAACGTGCCAGGGAACATGCCAGGTTGCAATGCTGAGTGTATCGATCTTGATGTACCGTGCCGAGGGCTGTGCTGTGCTTGGGCGACTTGGACACGTGAAAACAAGCGTTTTGTTCAATACATCCTCTACACATTCTCATGCCAGACATCCGCCTGGGCAACCTGGACACGTGCAAGCAAGCGTCTCGATCGAGACTTCCTCAACACATCCTCATGCTAGACATCCACCTGGGAGACCTGGACGCGTGAAACCAAGCGTCTCGCTCGAGACATCCTCAAAATCCGGGCACGTGAAAACAAGCATTTCACCTGAGACATCGTCTGAATTCTGGCCCCCAGGAGAGGAAGTCCATAACACGAAGCATGCGTTTCGCTCGAGACATCCTCAACACATTCTGACAAACAAGCGTTTCGCTCGGGACATCCTCAAACATAATTTCGCCGACCCTCTTCCCGTCGATTCCGGGGGTAAACCCACTAAAAGAGAACCCTGGGCCCGCGCCTTCACCGGGAAAGGAGAGCAGTGAGGCAGCGCCCCTCCCCGAACCCCAGGGGAAAAGAGAACGGAAGAGCCGCCTTTGACTGAAACAAGACGGATCGTCGGAGATTTGGGAACCGCCTCGCCTTCTTGCTCTGCTTCCTCCGCCTCCTCCACCTCGCCCTCGCTCTCGTCCTCGCCCTCGCCCTCGTCGTCGTCGTCGTCATCATCGTCGTCTCCTCCTCCTCCTCCTCCTCCTCGTCCTCCTCCTGCTCCTCCTCCTTCCCCTCCTCCTCCATCCTGCTCATCCTCGTCCTGCTCCTCCTCCTCCTCCTCCGCAGCCGCGCTGGCTCCTGCGCTCGCGGGAGCGCTCGCGCGCTGGGCGAGGAAGGAGGAGCACGAGGGGGAGGACAAGGGGAGGAGGAGAAGGAGTATGGGGGGAGGAGGAGGACAAGGAGGAGGAGGAGGAGAAAGGAGGAGGAGGAGGAGGGGGGGGAAAAGGAGGAGGAGGAAGAGGAGTAGGAGGAGGAGGAGGAGGAACAGGAACAGGAACAGGAACAGGAACAGGAACAGGATCAGGATGATGATGATGATGATGATGATGATGATGATGATGATGATGATGATGATGATGATGATGATGATGATGATGATGATGATGATGATGATGATGATGATGATGATGATGATGATGATGATGATGATGATGATGTGATGATGATGGATGATGATGATGATGATGTTGATGTTGATGATGATGATGATGATGATGATGATCAATGATCATGATGATGATGAGGAGGAGGAGGAGGAGGATGAGGATGAGGATGAGGATGATGATGAGGATGATCTGATGATGATGATGATGATGATGATGATGTTGATGTTGATGTGATGTTGATGATGATGGTGATGATTGATGATGATGATGATGATGATGATGATGATGATGATGATGATGATGATGGTGGTGGTGGTGGTGGTGGTGGTGGTGGGGGTGGTGGTGGGTGGGGGTGGTGGTGGTGGTGGTGAGGAGGAGGAGGAGGAGGAGGAGGAAGGAAGAGAGGAGGATGATGAGGATGAGGAGGAGGAAGAGGAGGAGGAACAGGAGCAGGAACTGGATGAGGAGGAGGAGAAGAAGGAAGGGCGGAGGATGAGGAGGAGTAGGAGGAGGAAGAGGAGGAGGTGTACGAGGAGGAGGATGAGGAAGAGGAGAAGGAGGAGGAGGAGGAGGAGGAGGAGGAGGTGTACGAGGAGGAGCGCGAAGAGCAGCACGAGGAGGAGCACGAGGAGGAGCACGAGGAGGAGGGGAGGAGGAGCACGAGGAGGAGGGGAGGAGGAGCAGGAGGAGCAGGATGACGAGGAGGTCGTCGTCGCCGTCGCCGCCGTCGTCGTGGTCGTCGTCGTCGTCGTGGTCGTAGTTGCCGTCGTCGTGGTCGTCGTCGTCGTCGTCGTCGTCGTCGTCGTCGTCGTCGTCGTGGTCGTCGTTGTCGTCGTCGTCGTTGTCGTCGTCGGCACCCCGGCGACGTCCCTTCAAGGCGTTGCCGAGGCCGCCGCGGCGGTGGCCGCCAAGACCGCGGAGGTGGAGAAGGCGGCCGCCCCGTCGGACCGCTGCTCTCTGCAGGAGGAGGGCGAGGGGAGGAGGGAGGAGCAGAAGGAGCAGGAGGAGCAGGAGGAGCAGAAGGAGCCAGAGGAGGAGGAGGAGGAGGAGGAGGAGGAGGAGGAGGAGGAGGAGGAGGAGGAGTTGGAGGAGGAGGAGGAGGAGAGGAGGAGGAGGAGGAGGAGGAGGAGGGAGGAGGCAGAAGGAGCAGAAGGAGCAGAAGGAGCAGAAGAGGAGGAGGAGGAGGAGGAGGAGGAGGAGGGGGAGGAGGAGGAGGAGTGAGGAGGGAGGAGGAGGAGGAGGGGGAGGAGGAGAGGGAGGAGGCGCAGAAGGGGGAGAAGGAGGCGCAGGAGCAGGAGCAGGAGGAGGAGTAGGACGACGACGAGGACGAGGACGAGTACGATGGCGAGGACCAGGGCGAGGGCGAGGTGGAGGAGGCGAAAGAGTCGGAGGATGAGGAGGAGGAGGAGGAGAAGGAGGAGGAGGAGGAGAAGGAGGAGGGGGAGGAGGAGGAGGGGGAGGAGGAGGAGGAGGAGGAGGAGGACCAGGAGGAGGAGGAGGAGGAGGAGGAGGGCGAGACGGTTCCCAAATGTTCTGCGAGCCGGTGTTTTTTTTCCAGCCCAGGCGCTCAAGACTGCGATTTCGTCTCCTGGGGCCTGCTGTCGGGCGCCCCAGGGACAGTCGACATGCTCGACCCACGAGCCCGGAGAAGGAGTCTAGACATGTAAGGCATGGCAACGTTTCAAAGGGGATGTAAGGAGGATAAGGCGGGGATCAGGATGCAGAGGGGGATGTAAGGAGGATAAGGAGGATAAGGAGGATAAGGAGGATAAGGAGGATAAGGATAAGGAGGATAAGGAGGATAAGGACGTTGCAAAGGGGATGTAAGGAGGATAAGGAGGATAAGGCGGGGATCAGGAGGATAAGGAGGATAAGGAGGATAAGGATAAGGAGGATAAGGAGGATAAGGACGTTTCAAAGGGGATGTAAGGAGGATAAGGAGGATAAGGCGGGGATCAGGAGGGGATTCTGTAATTTTTTCCTTCAAAATCTTTGAGGGTTGGAAGCGAGAAAGCGTGAGAAGACGAAAAGCATGATCGACCCACGAACCCCGAAGGGAATATAGAAATGTAAGACATGGCAACGTTTCAAAAACACCTGAGTGGGCGACGGGCAAACGCAATGTTGAGTGGATCGATCTTGATGTACCCTGCCGAGGGCTGTGCTGTGCTGCACCGTGCTCAATTGCGATGTGCCGTGCCGCGATTGTGCTCGATAGCGCTGTGGATCGAGTCCTCCTTTGCATCCGAGTCCTGACCGAACTGATCTGGATCTTAAGCTCGAGCTGCCTCAGCACATAGTAGCCGCCTCAGAGTTAATTGACAAGGGAACATGCCAGGAGGACGCGCCGCAGAACGTTCCAAGGGACGCGCCAGGCGACGTGCCAAGGGACGTGCCACGAATACGCACCGCGGGACGTGCCGAGGGGACGCGCTATGGAACGTGCCAATGGACGTGCCACGGGACGTGCCAGGGGATGCGCCGCGCGACGTGCCAGGGGGACTCGCCACGGAACGTGCCAAGGAACGTGCCAGGTTGCATTGCTGAATGTATCGATCTTGATGTACCGTGCCGAAATCTGTGCTGTGCTGAGCCGTGCTGAATTGCGATGTGCCATGCCGCGATTGTGCTCTATAGCGTTGAGGATCGAGTCCTCCTTTGCATCCGAGTCCTGACCGAACTGATCTGGGTCTTAAGCTCAAACTGCCTCAGCACATAGTAGCTGCCCCAGAGCTAACAGGGGGACATGCCAGGAGGACGCGCCGCGGAACGTCTCAAGGGACGCGCCAAGCGACGTGCCAGGGGACGTGCCATGGAGACGCACCGCGGTACGTGCCAAGGGGGCGCGCTACGGAACGTGCTGGGGACACGAGTTTCGCTCGAGACATTTTGTCAAAATCCTCATGCTAGACATCCGCCTGAGCGACCTGGACACGTGAAAACAAGCGTTCCGCTAGACATCCGCCTGGGCGACCTGTACACGTGAAAGCAAACGTCTCGCTCGAAACATCCTCAACACATCTTCATCATCCACCTGGGCGACCTGGACACGTGAAAACAAGTGTATCTCTCGAGACATTCTCAACACATCCTCATGCTAGGCATCCGCCTGGGCAACCTGGACACGTGCAAACAAGCATCTCGATCGAGACTTCGTCAACACATCCTCATGCTAGACATCCGCCTGGGCGACGACGACGCGTGAAACCAAGCCTCTGGTTCGAGACATCCTCAACAAATCCTAGCGCTAGACCTCTGCCTGGGCAACCTGGAGGCGTGAAACCAAGCGTCTCGCTCGAGAAAACCTCAAGACCTGGGCACGTGAAAACAAGCATTTCACTTCAGAGATCCTCTGAATTCTGGTCCCCAGGAGAGGACAACCTATAACACAAAACAAGCGTTTCGCTTGAGACATCCTCAACAAATTCTGAACACACAAGCGTTTCGCTAGGGACATCCTCAAATCCGTAAGGGCTTCGCCCCCTGCCGCCGGCCCCCTCTCTCGGAGAATGGGCCATGGCAGAGCAGGTTTTGGACCCTGACCCCGCGGATCTGCGTGAGGGGTGGCACCGAATTTCACAAATGTGGCAAATCCCTTGTGTTTTTGGACCCTGACCCCGCGGATCTGCGTGAGGGGTGGCACCGAATTTCAGAAATGTGGCAAATCCCTTGTGTTTTTGGACCCTAACCCCGCGGATCTGCGTGAGGGGCGGCACCGAATTTCAGAAATGTGGCGAATCCCTTGTGTTTTTGGACCCTGACCCCGCGGATCTGCATGAGGGGTGGCACCGAATTTCAGAAATGTGGCGAATCCCCTGTGTTTTTGGACCCTGACCCCGCGGATCTGCGTGAGGGGTGGCACCGAATTTCAGAAATGTGGCAAATCCCCGGTGTTTTTGGACCCTGACCCCGCGGATCTGCGTGAGGGGTGTCGATTTTGAGCCCCCCCAGCAATTCAGACAACGCGCCCAGGTGGTGCTAAAAATCTGGTTTGGGCCTCCCTCCCCTCGCGCGGTCAATCAACTAGTTACAGTAACCAGCAAGAAGCAGAACTGCAACACTGGAAACTACAAACTACAACTGGTACAGGAAACTGCGAATCACGGGCCTACAGCCTGGTGGCCCCACAAGGGGGCCAGCGGATTTTAATTCGCCGGCTCACCTCTACCTCGATATTTATCGCAAAAGAAATTCGCCGGCCCACCTCAAGTCAAACCCGGAGGTAAACAAACTAAAAGAGAACCCTGGGCTTCTGCCCTTTCCGGGAATAATGAAATTGTGGGATTTCCATTTTTTTACAGTTCCTCGGCGCTGCTCGGCGCTGTTTTTTGTTTGTGCCTCGCGTGTTTTGTTAGCCGGGCCCCTCAGGGGTGTGGGATCTTCTGGACCCCCTCTGGGTTCTGGAGGCCTCTCGGAGGCCTGGAGAGCCGTTGGAAGGCTTTCTCGGGCTGCGCGGGAGCGTGTTGGGCCGTTCTTTACGTTCTGGGGGCTCCTTGGGGTCGTCTTGGGCTCACTCACTTCGGCCCGGCAGGTGTGTGTGTGTGTGTGTGTGTGTGTGCGTCTTGGGTCCTTGGGGGAACCAACGTCTCACTCGATCGGTCTCACTATCGATCTCACTATCGATCTCACTATCGGTCTCGCTCGATCGATCTCACTCGATCGATCTCACAATCGATCGATCTTGATCTATTTCATTCGATCGATCTCACAATCGAACTGACTATCGATCTCACAATCGATCTCACTATCGATCTCACTATCGATCTCACAATCGATCTCACATTCGGTCTCACTATCGATCTCACTATCGATACCACAATCGATCTCCCAATCAACGTCATAATCATCAACATAATCGTCATCAACGTCATCAACAGCATCATCATGATTTCATCATCATCGGGACACCATCATCATCATCATCACCTCATCACCGTGCTTATCAACATCATCATCAGCAGCATCACCATCATCACCACCATCATCGGGACACCATCATCGTCACCATCATCATCATCAACATCAGCATCATCGGCACACCATCATCATCATCGGAAGACCATCATCATCATCATCATCATCATCATCATCATCTCATCACCATCATCATCAACATCATCATCACCATCATCGGGACACCATCATCATCGTCACCATCAGCATCACCATCATCATCACCATCAGCATCACCATCAACATCATCATCATCATCATCATCATCATCATCGGGACACCATCTTCATCATCATCAACATCAGTATCATCATCATCGGGCCACCAGCATCAAAATCATCATCATCACATCATCATCCTCATCATCATCAACATCATCATCATCGGGACACCATCAACGTCATCATGATCATCATCAAAAGCATCATCATCATCGGGACACCATGGTCATCATCACCATCATCATCATAAACAGCATCATCATCAACCTCATCATCATCATGATCATCATCATCGGGACACCATCATCATCATCATCATCATCATCATCATCATCATCATCATCTCATCATCATCTCATCATCTCATCATCATCATCAACATCATCAGGATCATCAACATCACCATCATCGGGGCACCACCAACATCATCAGCAACAACATCATCATCATCAGCAACATCATCATCGGGACACCATCATCATCACCACCATCACCATCATCACCAACAACAACATCATCAGGATCATCAACATCATCATCGGGACACCATCATCACCACCATCACCATCATCACCAACAACAACATCATCGACATCATCATGATCATCATCATGATCATCATCATGATCATCATCATCATCATCATCATCATCATCATCATCATCATCATCATCGGGACACCGACGGGACACCGGCGGGACACCGCGGGCCGCCGACCCCTGGAAAGGAATCATTTTGTCCGGCCGCGCCTCAGCCGGAGGCGGGACACCGGCGGGACACCGCGGGCCACCGGCCCCCGGAAAGGAATCAGTTGGTTTGGCCGCGCCTCAGCCGGAGGAGACTTTCTTCTCGCCCGCCCACGCAGCTTCGCCTCGCCCGCACGCACGGCACGCACGAACACGAAACCGAAACCGATTCTTCAAGCTTACGCCACATCCGCCGACCCCTTGTTTTTTTTTCTGGGGCGATCGCCGGTTTTGGGAGGGGCTCTGTTGGAGGCTCTGTGAGGCGGCCGGAGGGGTTCATGAGTGGTCTGGATGTCATCTTGGTCGATCATTTTTTTTTTTGGTTCTTCTTCCTTTCTCTGGCGCGTCGGGGTCCTCTTGGATTGCCTGTGGGCCTTCTTGGGAGGTCTCAGGGGTCGTTTTGGAGCTCCGGAGCGAGCCCATGGACTTGGGCGCCTCGTGGGTCGTCTTGGCGCCCTTTTGGGGACGTCTTGGGAGCCTCTGGGCCCTGGACGGCAATGCGGGACGACGTCGCGTTCACACTGCGACGCAAAGAAGGGCACCCTGAAATGCAAGACATGCACGGGACGAGCGCCGCGGAGAGACCCTCCGAAACGCCCGGCGGAACCAAGTGACGAGCATTGCGACAAGGCACGGAAGTTGCGAGGAATCTGACCGCTGGGGACGGGATGGATAAGGGGGACGTGGAGGAGGGAGGATGGGGGAGCAGCCAAAGGCGGAGAAGGTGAAAAGTGAGCCAGTGGAGGGAATACGAGACAGAAAGCTGAGAGGGGAGACGGGAGGAGGGGGCGGAAGAGGAGGATGAGAAGGAGCAGGAGAACACGACGAGGACGACAATGGCGGCGACAGACTCGACGGCGTAGGCTGGGCACCTTTTTGGGGCCATCTTGGGGGCTTCGTTGACCGTTGTGGGAGCCTCTGGCGCCGTCGTCGTGAGAATCCTCTCGGGGGCCTGCGGGAGGCAGTTTGGAGGCTTCTGGGGAGCTGTTTTGGGGCAGCTTGGGGCTTTTTTTGGGCTTGTTGGGGGCCTCTTGGGGGCTTCTTGGAGCCTCTTGGAGGCCTCTTGGGGCCTCCTTGGCGCCTTTTTGGGCGGAAGGCTAGAATTTTAGGTTCGTGGTCCCCGTCTGGAGCCTTTCTTGGGCCCCTCTGTGGGCCCTCTTGGACTGTCTGAAGGCCCTCTTGAGCCGTTTTGAGGCGCTCTTGGGCCGTGTTGGGGCCCACTTGGGAGCCTCTCGGGTCGTCTTGATGCCGTCTTGGGGGCTTCTTTCGCCGTCTTGGAGCGTCGGAAGCCCGAAAAAACGCGAAGGCCAAAAACGTTGAAAAAACCAATGGAAATCGACGATTTTGGCCTCTTGGGGCCATCTTGGGAGGCGTCTTGGAAGCTTCTTGGGGCGTCTTGGAGGCATCTGGGGCCATCTGGAGGCCATCTTGACCGTCTTCGAGTGTTTTTTCGGCGACTCGGGGCCCTCTTGGACCGTCTGCAGAGCTTCTTGGGAGCCTCTTCGCTCGTTTGCGGCCCCCCCAGCAGACTCTCTGGAGCGGATGACCCCCCCCGGACCGCGCCGGCGGATCCCGGGGAATCCGGCCGGACCCCCCCCCCCCCCCCTCCAAAACGACCGGACCAGGCTCCGGGGGGAGGGGTTTGGGGAGGGGGGAAGCATCTCACACGCCGATGACCCCAAGGGGTCGGCGGATTTCCTGGTAGGGGGGCTCTCCGTTCCTATTCGATCTCACCCCCTCACTTCCGACGCTCTTTGGGCTCTCTCGGGACGGCTCTCGCGGCTCTCGTGGTGGGCTGTTCTTGGAGCCTCGTCGGGGTCGTTTTGGGCCTCTCAGGGATCGGGGGGGTGTTGGAGGCCTCTGGGGGGGTCCAGGAGGCCTCTCGGAGGTCTCTGGAATCCTCCTGCTCCCGCTCTTGTGCCCATCTTGGGCCTGTTCTGGAGTGGTCTGGGGCTGTCCTGGGCGCCTCTTCGGCAGTCTTGGAGCCTTCTTGCCCCGTCTTGGGGCCGTCCTGAGGGTCTCTTGGGTGGTCTTGGGGCGGTCTTGGGCAGCTCTTCGGCGTTCTTGGAGCGTTGGAAGCTCGAAAACGCGAGAAGCCAAAAACATAGAAAAAACAATGACAATCCACAATTTTGGCCTCTTCGGGCCGTCCGGGGACGCCTCTCGGACCTCTCTTGGGGTCTCTTGGAGCCGTCGGAAGGCTGACTTGGGCTGCTTGGGAGCGTCTTGGACCGTCCTTTCGCATTCTGGGGGCTCCTGGCCGGCGTCTTGGGCCCTCCTGGAGCGCTGTGGAGGCTCCCTGGAAAAGCCGGGGGAGCGGTACTGGGAGCGTTCCCGAGATGTTCCGGCGAGGTGTGGGACCTGGGGCCGGGAGGGGGCCATATTTATTCATTTATTTCTTATTATAGATAATATGTATGTGTGTATGGATGTATATATGCATGCATGCATGCACGCACGTACGCACATACGCACGTACGCACGTACGCACGTATGTACGTACGTACGTACGTATGTATGTATGTATGTATGTATGTATGTATTTATGTATGTATGTATGTATGTATGTATGTATGTATGTATGTATGCATGCATGCATGTATGTATGTATGTATGTATGTATGTATTTGCGTATGTATAGATGGCTTGATGGATGCATGCATGCGTGCATGCATGTATGCATGTGTATATATATATGTATGTATGTGTGGATAGATGTATTGATATACGTATGTATGTTTGTTTGTTTGTATGCATGCATGCATTCATGCGTGTTTGTGTGTATGTATGTATGTGTGTATGCGTATGTGTATGTGTAGGCGTATGTGTATGTGTATGTATATGAGTAGTCATATTCATGTGTGTATATGTTTGTGTGTATGTATGGATAGAGGTATGTATGTATGTATGTATGTATGCATGTATGCATGTATGCATGTATGCATGTATGCATGTATGCATGTGTATGGTATGTATGTATTTGTGTATGCATGCCTGTCCGTCTGTCTGTATGTGTGTCTGTATGTATGTATGTATGCCTGTATGTATTTATGCTTGTATGTTGGTTTGTATGCATGTATGTATGCATGCATGTGTATAAATGAATACTTATGTCTGCCTGCCTGCCTACCTGCCTGCCTACCTGTGTGTCTCTTTCTGTCCCGCTGAGTGTCTTTCTCACTCACTCTCCCTCGCGCACTGAATGCCCAATCTCGCAGGTGGAGGTGCAAACGAACCAGTGCAAGTCGGAGTTGGAGCAGGCCCAGGCGTCCTCGGTTCCGCCCTCTGGTCTGCATGATGCCTTCCCCATGCCCCTCACTCTTCCATTCAAGGCCCTGCCTCCTCCTCCTCCTCCTCCTCCTCCTCCTCCTCCTCCTCCTCCTCCTCCTCCTCCCCCTCGTGCTCCTCCCCCTCCGTCTCCTCCTGCTCCTCCTCCTTCTCGTCCTCCCACCCCCTGGCCGCTTCCAAGGCACAGCACCAGGAGAGCGAGGCTGTCTTCCAGGCCGCCGCCGCGGAGCTGAAGGCCCATTCCGCGGAGGCCAAGAGGCTCGCGAAGGCCTGCCACCAGGGATGATGATGATGCTGATGATGAGGGTGATGGTGATGATGATGATGATGATGATGATGATGATGATGATGATGATGATGGTGGTGATGGTGATTGCGATGGTGATGGTGATGTCGGTGATGATGGTGACGATGATGGTGATGATGATGCTGATGATGATGATTATGATGATGATGATGATGGTGATGGTGATGGTGATGATGGTGATGACGGCGGTGATGATGGTGGTGGTGGTGATGATGACGTTGACGCTATTGCTGCTGCTGCTGATGGTGTGGATGCTGGCAGTGATGATGACGATGCTGATGGTGATGATGATGGCGATGACGATGCCGACGACGATGGCGATGATGAATGCTGACGATGAAGATGATGATGGTGGTGGTGATGGTGGTGGTGATTTTGTTGATACTGTTGTTGCTGTTGTTGTCGATGATGTGGAGGCTTCTGACGACGAGGTTTGTGAGGATGATGATGCTGATGGTGGTGATGATGGTGATGATGATGACCTCGATAATGGTAGTGATGATGAGGTTCGTGGTGGTGATGATGATTATGATGACCTTGATGTTGATGTTGATGATGGTGGTATGGTGATGATTCGAATGCTGGTGGCGATGCTGTAGCTGCTGCTGATGATGCTAATGACGGTGATGATGACGTCGATGATGATTATGGCGATGATGACGATATTGGGGATGGCGATGGCGATGACGACAGTTATGATGATGATGTTGCTGATGGTGATGATGATGATAACGATGATGATGATGATGACGATACCGACGACGATGACGATGATCATTGCGATGCTGACGATGACGCTGATGATGATGCTGACTATGATGGTGGTGGTGGTGCTGGTTGTGAGGATGAATATGTTGATGCTGGTGCTGATGCGTCTGCTGATGATGCGACGGTTGGCCATTATGATTCTGATGATGATGGTGATGATGATGGTGATGATGATGTTGATCTCGATGATGATGACGATGGTGATGATGATGATGGTCGTGGTGGTGGTGGTGATGATTATGGTGCGTCTGATGGCGATGCTGCTGATGATGCTGATGATGATGATGATGCCGACGGCAATGTGGCTGCTGGGAATGATGATGCTGATGTTTATGACTATGATCGCGATGATGCCGTCGATGATGATGATGATGATGTTGATGGTGATGGCGATGCTGACAATGACGATGGCGATGTTGATGATACTAGTGACGATGACGATGATGATGACGATGATGAGGATGCTGAGGAAGATGAGCATGATGATGATGATGCCGATGATGATGAGCATGATGACGATGGCGCTGGTGATGAAGATGCTGAGGAAAATGCTGCTGATGGTGGTGGTAGTGATGGTGGTGATGATGATGATGACGTTGATGCTCTTATTGCTGTTGCTGGTGATGATATGGGTGCTGGTGGTGATGGTACTGATGATGCTCCTGACGTCGATGATGGTGATGGGGATGACGATGGCGATGGCGATGATGACGATGATGATGCTACTGATGGTGGTGGTGATGATGCTGATGATGATCATCATGTTGCTGTCTTTGGTGATGAAGATGATGCTGATGATGATGATGGTAAAGCTGATGATGATGATGATGAGATGGTGTCGGTGCAGGTGATGGTGGTGGTGGTGGTGGTGCTGGCGGTGACGGTAATGATGATGGTGATGCCTGAATGGCTTCTGTTGGTGATGAGGGTGGTATGGATGCTGGTGGTGATGATGCTGCTGATTCTGATGCATGCAGATGGTGATGATGGCATCGATGCTGATGATGCTGATGATGTTGATGATGGTGACGATGACGACTCCGATGATGTCAATGACGATGATGATACCGATGACGACGATGCTAATGATGGTGATGATGATTGGTATGATTATGCTGGCGATGGTAATGCTGATGATGGTGATGGTGATGATGATGTTGATGACGTCAATGATGACGATGGCGATCATGATAATTATGATGTCTATGACGATAACGGTGACGTTGACGATGGCGATGATGGTGATGATGTTGATTCCGTTGTTGATAACGATGGTCATGGTTGAGGTGGCGGTGATGGTGGTGACGATGATGTCGATGCGGTTGTTGCTGCTGCTGGCCTTGATGATGAGTATGCGGGTGTTGATGGTGATGATGGTGGTTGTAATGATGATGATGATGAGGATGCTGATGATGATGATGATGATGATGTTGGTGTTGGTGCTGGTGCTGGTGTTGGCGATGATGACGTCGGTAATGGTGCTGATGATGATGACGATGCTGAGTATGATCCTGACGATGCTGATGATGATGATCATGGTGGTTGTGGTGGTGATGGTTGTGATGATGATCATGATGGTGACGTTGATGCGGGTGGTGCTGTTCATGATGATGATGTGGATGCTGGTGGTGATGATTATGATGATCATGTTGATGTTGGTGATGATGGTGACGGCAATGACGATGGCGACAACGATGATCCTAGTGATGATGACGGTAATGATGCTGACCATGACGATGTGGATGATATTGGCGATGGTGATGTTGATGATGATGCTGATGATACTGACGATGATGGTGATGCTGATGGTGGTGGTGATGGTGATGTTGATGTTGGTATTGCTGTTGCTGCTGATGATGATGTGGATGGCAGCGATGACGATGATTTTATTTGTGATGGTGATGCCGACGTCGATTATGGTGATGATGATGATGATGTCGACGATGATGATGGTGGTATTGGTGTTGATGGTGGTGATGATGATGACGGTGATGCTGCCTTTGCTGCTACTACTGATAGTGATGATGAGGATGCTGGTGATGATGTCGATGATTGTGGTGCTGGCGTTGATGATGATGATGCTGATGATGTTGACGTCAATGACGATGACGATCATGATAGTGATGACGACGATGCTGATGATGATGATGACGATGATGCTGTCGACGACGATGGTGATCACGATGGCGATGACGATGATGATGGTCATGATGGTGATGATGATGATGGTGGTGGTCGTGGTGGTGGTGATGGTGGCGATGGTGATGATGATGACGTTGAGTCTGATGTTGATGCTGCTGCTGGTGATGATGTGAATGCTGGTGATGGGGACGATGATGATGATGATGGCGATGACGACGTCGATGATGGTGCTGATGATGTCAATGCCGATGGTGATGATGATGATGATGGTGGTGGTGGTGGTGACCGCGGTGGTTAGGATAATGGTGATGAAGTTACTTTTACTGTTGTTGCTGGTGCTGATGATGATGTGGATGCTGGTGATGATGATTGTGCTGGCTACGATTATGATGGTGATGATGACGTCGATGATGCTGATGATGATGATGATGATCATGGTGATGATGCTGATGACGATGATGTTAATGATAATGACGACAATGATGATGGCGATGACGATGATGATAGTGATGAAGACGATGATGACAATGCTGATGAGGCTAATGATGATGACGGTGACGATGACGATGACGATGGTGATGGTGATGGTGATGATGGTGGTGGTGGTGGTAATGATGGTAATCGTTGTGGTGATGATGATTTTGATGCAGTTGTTGCTGCTGCAGCTGATGACGTGGATGCTGGTGATGATGATGATGCTGGGGATGATGACGTCGATGACAGCGATGATGATGCCGATGATGATGATGATGGTGCTAAAGTTATCGATGATAGTGATGTTGATGGTGGTGATGGTGGTGCTGACGATGATGACGATGATGATGGTGTGCTGCTGCCGGTTATGATGATGATGATGATGATGATGATGATGATGTGGATGTTGGTCATGAAGGTTGTGATGATAATGATGATGAGGATGATGACGATGCTTCTGATACTGATGACAACGATGATGATCATCATGATGATATTGATGGTGATGGTGATGATGATGATGATGACGGCAATGACGATGGTGATGACGATTATGATAGTTATGATGACGATGAGGATAATGAGGATGATGAGGATAATGATGATGGTGGTGATGATGACGATGACGATGACGATGAATAGGATGATGATGATGATGATGATGATGATGAGCATGATTTTAATGGTGATGATAATGGTGAGGACTATGATGATGATGCTGATGATGATGATGATGATGATGATGATAGTGGTGATGTTGGTGGTGGTGATTATGTTGATGCTGGTGTTGCTTCTGATGATGTGGATGCTGGTGGTTTTGATGCTGAATATGATTATGATGATGATGATGGTGATGATGGCGTTGATAATGGTACTTGTGATGGTGATGATGATGGTGGTGATGATGGTGGTGGCGATGATATGGTTCATGCTGGTGCTGATTATGGTGACGATGTGCATGGTGTGGGTGATGTGGATGTGGTCCTTGATGTGGAGTTGGATGTAGATGCGGATGATGATGCGGATGATGATGGTGACGATGAGGATGATGATGATACTGATGATGATTCTGATGACGATGTTGATGATGGTGGTGCTGACGATGATGATGCTGATGGATATGATGATGATGGGTATGTGATGACGATGATGATGCTGATGATGATGATGCTGATGATGATGATGATGATGATGATGATGATGATGATGATGATGATGGGTGCACCAGCGCGAAGGGAACCTCTACGAGCACCCTCTTAAAGAAGGCCTCTGCGAGCACCTTGATGACGAATACCTCCATGAGCACTTTCCGAAGCGTCCTCCACTGTTACCAGCGTGACGAATCAGAAGAAGAAAAAGAACATCACCTCCACGAGCGCCCTCGAGGAGAAGGCCTCCGCGATCGTCTTCATGAGGGAAACCGCCGTGGAAGCGCTGCACGAGGGCCCTGCCCACGAACGCCTCCAGGGAACGCTCGGCGCGGAAGCGCACGCCAAGGAGGCAGGAGCAGGGCGTCCCCGCCGCCAGAAGACCCAATCTGCAGAATCATACACCTTAGGCGATGCTTAAGAAAACTTAAATTTTCGGCCAGAGTCTCGATTATTCTTAATGTTTCAATGTAAATCCTAAGATTTGAATGGAAACTTTAGGTTTTTATTCAAGTTCTGAGACTATGAATTTCTTAACCCATGATTTCTTAAGCATTTCGCAGGGTGTAGTGCTGATAGCCAGAAGCCAAAGACGCGAGACTGCGCGGCAAGGAACCACGAGGGCCAGCACGCAACGCTGCTGGACCCACCTGGAGCGTCGCGTCGCCAGGCGGCCCGGGGCCTGCCGTGCACCTTTCCCCGCTTTGGCCCGACGGGAAGATGGTCTTGCTCCTGACGACTGCCGCACCATCCTGCGCGGCATGACTCGGAAGACTCCGCGTACGGCCGACGGCTAGCGAGACACCAGTCCAGAAGAGGTGGCTTCTCCACCCAATAGCGTGACAGCCAAACGTATGATGCCCCTCGTGGAGAAACAAACGAGAAGGAGAAAAGGACGAGAATTGAACCACACCTTGGCCGTTGCACACTGCTGCCGGTACCTCAAAGTGGAAATTGATGATGGTCGGTGGCGTGTTGCAGGAATACAGGAGATCATGAGAACCAGCACGTTGTTGGGCTCTGGCGGGGAGCCGCAACCTCGCGGTGCAGCCGCAACGGTTGCCCGATGGTCCGACACAGCCTGTTGTGTTTGCAATCCGCCGCGCGGGTGTGACGGCCACGGGTGACCGGAGAGCGACCCCAGCCAGGCAGCACGAGCCCGAGGAGTGGACGATACATGGCGACGGCCGAGATGATGATGACGACGATGATGATGCTGATGATGATGACACTGGTGATGTGATGATGGTGGTGATGATGATGCTGATTATGATGTTGATGATGATGGTGATGGTTATGTTGATGGTGGTGATGATGATGGCAATGGCGATACAAGTGCGGTGACGATGACGATGATGATGATGACGATGATGATGATGATGATGCTGATGATGATGCTGATGATGATGGGATGAGATGGGATGAGATGGGATGAGATGAGATTGGATGAGATGAGATGATATGATATGAGATGATATGAGATGATGATAACGATGATGATGGTAATAATGGTGCTGATGATGATGATGGTGATGGAGATGATCCGTACTGCTACTGGTAGCATTCGGATCATTACGATGAGGAAGGTGATGCTGGTGATGTTGATGGTGCTGCTGATCAGGATTTGATTGAAGACGCCTGCGGCGAATTACTGCCGCACCCTACCTTTTGGAAGCGGCTGTGTGGCCGAACGTTGTGGCCAAAGCTTGGCCACGGAATCGGATTCAGTGTTTCCCGAACCGTAGTGGAAACCCTTCGAGGAACACTTGGGGGAGGATAAGGAAGAGCATCAGGAGAAGTTCGATGAGGAAAAGGGGGGAGGAAGAGGAGGAGGAGGAGGAGGAAGAGGAGGAAGAGGAGGAGGAGGAGGAAGACGAGGGGGAGGAGCAAAAGGCGGAAGAGGAGGAGGGAAGATGATGAGGACAAGGCCTCTCGGGGGCCTCTTGGGACGCTCTTCGGGCCTCCTGGGAGCTTTTTGGGGCCTCTTGGAGGCCTCTTGGGGGCCTCCTTGGGCATGTTGTGGCACTTGAGGGTTTCTTGGGGGCCTCTCTCCTGGGCGACTTGAAGCGTTCCTGGCTCGTCTGACGCCGTTGGAAGCCGTCTTGGGGGCCTCTCGGGGCCGCCTTGTGGCCTTCTTGGGGCACTTCAGGGCCGTCTTGGAGGCCATCTTGGGCTTCTTGGAGGCCTCTTGGGCCGACTTGGGGCCCTCGTGGGGCCGTCTTGTCCTGGCCGTCTTGGGGCAACTGTTTGGGGATTCTCCTGTCTCTCTGTGTGGCTGGCAGGCTGGGTCGCGACCCGACTGGGAGCCCGCAGCAACAGGCCAAGTCCAGTCAAAGTCCAGCACCGCCGTGCGCCCCTGTGGAAGCCGCTGGGGGCGGCGGGTCTGTGGCCTTGGGCCCATGCCGCCGCTGCGCCTGGGCTGCAGGTCAGAGGCCTTCTGTGATGCCTGCGGGTGTATCTTGGGACGCTTCTCGGGAGTTTCTCTTGGATTCGGTCGTGGGGTGCCTTGGGGGGGCCCCTCGGAGGCCGAACACGGCCCCAAAGACCGGCCGTCGCGACTCTTCCTCAGCCGGGGGGGGGCGCGGGGGTCCCTCCCCTCCTTGCGGAGGCCCTCGTTCCTCCTCCCCTGCTCCTCTTTCCGCCTCCCCTCGTACCTCCTCCTCCTCCTCCTCCTCCTCCTCCTCCTTCTCCTCCTCCTCCTCCCTCCTCGACGAGGGGTCGAGGCCTTCCCCCCTCTCCTCGACCCTCGTTCCTCATCCCCCTCCTCGCTGGGGCACTGCGCCAGCGGAGCGGACAACACACACACACACACACACACACACACACACACACACACACACACACACACACACACACACACACACACACACACACACACACACACACACACACACACACACACACACACACACACACACACACACACACACACACACACACACACACACACACACACACACACACACACACACACAGCACACACACACACACACACACACACACACACACACACACACACCACACCACACACATCACACACACACACACACACACACACACACACACACACACACACACAGCACACACACACACACACACACACCACACAACAACACAACAATTATCCTGGCGAAGGTCCCAACCATATGCAGTTGTGGGTACCGTAATTGTGAATATCTGCTTCGGTGAAGCTCCCTATGGGGCCACGAAGCGCTGCTCTGGGCGGGGGGGAACGCTGTACTGTGTGGGTGGTGTGCCGAATTAGATTTCTGGGACGCATGCGGACGGTCCCACTGAGGTCTTCGGTGGAGCTCCCTATGGGGCCACGAAGCGCTCTACTGAGTGAGTGAAAATGCCAAATTGGGTTTCCGGGACGCTTGCGGACGGTCCAACTGGGGGCTTCGGTGGAGCACCCTATTGGGCCACGAAACGCTGCACTGCGCGGGTGAAAATGCCAAATTACATTTCCTGGACGCATGCGGACGGTGGCACTGGGGCCTTGGGTGGAGCCCCTTATGGGGCCACGAAGCGCTGCACTGGGTGGGTGAAAATGCCAAATTGGGCTTCCGGGACGCATTCGGACGGGGGCATTGGGGCCTTCGGTGGAGCTCCCTATGGGGCCACGAAGCGCTGTACTGGGTGTGCGGGACGCATGCGGACGGTAGCGCTGGGACCTTCGGTGGGGCTCCCTATGGGGCCACGAAGCGCTGTACTGGGCGTGCGGGACGCATGCGGACGGTAGCACTGGGACCTTCGGTGGGGCTCCCTATGGGGCCACGAAACGCTGTACCGGATGGGTGAAACGCAGGGAGGAGGGAGAGGAGGGCCACGAAACGTTGTACTGGGTGTGCGGGGCGCATGCGGACGGTAGCGCTGGGGCCTTCGGTGGAGCTCCCTATGGGGCCACGAAGCGCTGTACTGGGCCTGCCGGGACGCATGCGGACGGTAGCACTGGGACCTTCGGTGGGGCTCCCTATGGGGCCATGAAGCGCTGTACGGGGTGGGTGAAACGCATGGAGGAGGGGGAGGAGGGCCACGAAACGCTGTGCATGCGGACGGTAGCGCTGGGACCTTCGGTGGAGCTCCCTATGGGGCCACGAAAGGCTGTACTGGGCGTGCGGGACGCATGCGGACGCGGACGGTGGAGAGGAGGAGTGGGCAGAGGAGGAGGAGGAGGAGGAGAGAACGCGGGGACCGTTTCTTCAAAACGAGGACCCAACACTACGGCGGTCACGGCCGCAAGAGACCCTCGCGCGGGACCCGACCCGGAAAGACCGCGTGCGAGGTGCCACTTGGAGGGGAGCCTGAAGGCAGCCCGGAAGCAGCGCCCCCTCGCCCGTAGGAGCTGGATGGCCAAGTCGACCTGCTCCTAGAAGGCCAACATCTGGGGCCCATGCCACATACACTCCAGGCGATGCTTAAGAAAACCAAAGTTTTCGGCCAGAGTCTCGATTATTCTTAACGTTTCAGTGTAAATCCCAAGATTTTGATAGAAATTTCGGTTTTTAATCAAATTCTGAGACTATGAATTTCTTAACCCATGATTTCTTAAGCATTTCGCAGGGTGTACCGGTCTCGCTTTCTGGCCACAAGCGTCCATAGAGACACGTTTGGATGCCGATGCATCTGCAGATGCGTTCGGGGTGGGCACGCCTGCAGACCACGCGGCGGCTGCGCTCGGCGCAGTACGGCGTCGGAGAAGTCGCAGGTCCGTCCGCGATCTGTTCCTGCGCCAGAGCAGGTCCCACGCGGTGCTCCGGAGCCGGAGCAGGGCGGACCCCTCCCGGGGCCCAGGCGCACGACACCAGCTTCCCGCGCCGCGCCCGGCCGTGAGGACGAGGGGGGCCCCCCGAAGGCCCACCGGCAGTGTCTCGAGCGACCCTCCTCGGAGCCAGGCCCGCGACGCCGCGCGGGTCGACCTGGAGCGCCTCGACGCCGGCCCCCTCGCGGCCTTCGAGGCGCTGCGGCTGGCGACCTCCAAGAGCGCGGCCGGCGCGCTGGGCGAGGCGCGGCCGGCGCGGGGGCGCGTCGTCGCCGTCGTCGCTGGGCCTGGGCATCCGTCGACGTGATGCAGGAGGGAAAGAAACACACAGACACAATTAGTCGTCGAGTCCCAGGAACATATGGGAAGCTATGGGAATTGGGCGGGGAGACAAGAGCCCAGAAAAAATATGGGAAACTATGGGGAATCATTCTATTTGTGCGCATTTGTTTGTGTGTTCCAGGGCCCCTTCAGTGATGTCTTGCCTCGCCGGGGTTCGTAGAGGGGGGGGGTTCTCCCAAGGCGGGGGGAGGGTCCCAGCCCAGCTGGATGCCCACGTGTCCTTCCTCCAGGAGCCGCTCAGAGCGGCGTTCCTCCAGCCCCTATCCCTGCCCCCTGCCCCGCCTGGGCGTCCCCCCGATCCTCACGTCCTGAGTGGGGTTCTTGTTTTCTCTGCACCCCCCGCACAGGAAGCGCACTCCCCCTCTCCGTTCACACTCGTCCCCGTCGTCATCATCTCTATCAGCATCAGCATCATCAGCATCATCATCATCATCATCAGCATCATCATCATTATCATCAGCATCAGCATCAACATCAACATCATTATCAACATCATCGCCATCATCAACATCCTCATCATCACCATCACAATCACAATCACAATCACCGTCAGCACCATCATCATCATCATCGTCATCATCAGCAGCATCATTATCGTAAGCGTCATCATAATAATCAGCATCATCGTCACCATCACCATCATAGTCATCATTATCGTCAGCATAATCCATCACTTCGCCAAATGACCATCCCCACCATCACCATCATCACTATCATCATCATCATCATCATCATCATCATCATCATCATCATCATCAGCATCAGCATCAGCATCAGCATCAGCATCAGCATCATCATCATCATCATCTTCTTCATCTTCATCTTCATCTTCATCTTCATCTTCATCTTCATCATCATCACCCCAACGCGCACTCATACACATACGAGCTCGCGCACTCACGCACTCACACACCCATGCGCTCGTCTGGAGGAAGTCCCGAGAGGGAGCCTCGCCTGTGAGTGAAGTGTGAAGACGTCTCCCGGGGGAGCCCCCGCCTCGCGGGGCCCGCAGTTCACGCGGCTGACTCGAGGCGGCCATTAGGCAACTTCGTAGAAGCACGTGGCTTTGCGATCATCGAGTCGCAGAGCTCCCCTCCCAGGGCTGATTTTGAGCGTCTGTAGGAAAAAACACACTGTGGGGAAAACACACACACATACACAAAAAAACACACACACACACAGTGTGTGTGTGTGTGTTTTCCCATTGTGTTTTTTTCCCACAGTGTGTGTTTTGTGTCCATTCCCAGGGCTGATTTCGAGTGTCTGGAGCCAACCAACTCTGGGCCACTTCGTCTTTCTCGAGTTCCCGGAGTTCCGCTCTGAGGCCCGACTGTGCAAGTCCGGAACGAGCTGCAGGCCACTTCGGGCTCTTCGTGCTCCCAGAGCTCTAGTATTAGATTTGATTCTGCACATCCGGAACCAGTTGTAGGTCATTCCGAGCTGTTCGTATTCCCATAGTTCCATTATTGTTCCTCGAAGCGATTTCGAGAGTCTGGAGCCAGCTGTAGGCCATTTCAGGCTCTTCGTGTTCCTGGAACTTGTTCCTGGGATAGATTTTGCGCTCGCACCCTGGCATTCTCGCATCCTGGCAACTTTGCATCCTGGCGTCACTGGCATGTCTGCTTTCCCTGGCATCCTGGAACCCATGGCATCCGAGGCGTCCAGGCACACGCCGCGCAGGTTTAACAGAGGCTCGCAGGTCACGAGAATCGCGCCTGCACCAACACTTACGCATTCACCTACACACTCTCATACCCACCCACATGTACACCCGCACACCCGCACACCCGCACACACACACACACACACACACACACACACACACACACACACACACACACACACACACACACACACACACACACACACACACACACACACACACACACACACACACCACACACACACACACACACACACACCACACACACACACACACACACACACACACAACACACACCACATACACACACAACACACACGCACACGCACACGCACACACGCACACGCACACGCACACACGCACACGCACACCGCGGCACAACAGCACACGCACACGCACGCACACTACGCACACGCACACACGCACACGCACACGCACACGCACAACACACACACACACACACACACACACACACACACACACCACCACCACACACACACACACACACACACACACACACACCACACACACACACACACACACACACACACACACACACACACACACACCACACACACACACACACACACACACACACACACACACACACACACACACACACACACACACACACACACACACACACACACACACACACACACACACACACACACACACACACACACACACACACACACACACACACACACTCGTCTTGATGAAGTCTCGAGCGTGAGCCTCGTCTGTGAGTCAACTGCGAGGAAGTCTCAAGCGGGAGCCCCCTCCCTATGGGACCCATGCTTCATCTTACTATACCGAGGCGGAAATTAGCCTGGCGAAGAACCCAACCAGATGCAGTTGTCAGTACCGCAGCTGCGGGTTTCATCTTCAGTGGAACTCCCCATAGGACCACGGAACGTGTGAGGGGTGTGCCGAGATGGGTGCCACTGGGGCATTCGGTGAAGCTTCCTATGGGGACATGAAACACGCGCGGGGCGTGCCGACATGGGTAGCGGAAACGCATGTGAGGGCCGCCACTGGGGCCTCCATTGGAGCTCCCTATGGGGCCCCGAAACATGATGCTGCTGTGGGGGGAGTGCCGGGATGGGTGGCGGAGACGCATGTAAGCGCCGCTACTGGGGCCTTCGGTGGAGCTCCCTATGGGGCCACGAAGCGCGTGAGGCGTGTACTGGGATGTGTGGCGGGGACGCATGTGAGCGCCGCCACTGGGGCCTTCGGTGGAGCTCCCTATATGGGGCCACGAAAACGTGTGAGGGGTGTGCCGAATTGGGTGCGGGTGGTGACGCATGCGGGCGGTGCCACTGGGGCCTTCGGTGGAGCTCCCTCTGGGGCCACGGAACCTGTTGTTGTGAGGGGCGTGCCGGGATGGGTGGCGGGGACGCACGTGAGCGCGGCCGCTGGGGCCTTCGGTGGAGCTCCCTATGGGGCCACGAAGCGTGCGAGGGGTGTGCCGATATGGGTGTGCGGGACGCATGCGGGCGGCAGCACTGGGGCCTTCGGTGGAGCTACCTATGGGGCCACGGAACGTGTGAGGGGTGTGCCGAATAGGGTGTGCGGGACGCATGCGGGCGGCAGCACTGGGGCCTTCGGTGGAGCTCCCTATGGGGCCACGAAACGTGTGAGGGGTGTGCCGAATGGGTGGGGGACGCATGCGGGCGGCAGCACTGGGGCCTTCGGTGGAGCTCCCTATGGGGCCACGAAACGTGTGAGGGGTGTGCCGAATTGGGTGTGCGGGACGCATGCGGGCGGCAGCACTGGGGCCTTCGGTGGAGCTCCCTATGGGGCCACGAAACGTGTGAGGGGTGTGCCGAAATGGGTGTGCGGGACGCATGCGGGCGGCAGCCATGGGGCCTTCGGTGGAGCTCCCTATGGGGCCACGAAACGTGTGAGGGGTGTGCCGAAATGGGTGTGCGGGACGCATGCGGGCGGCAGCACTGGGGCCTTCGGTGGAGCTCCCTATGGGGCCACGAAACGTGTGAGGGGTGTGCCGAAATGGGTGTGCGGGACGCATGCGGGCGGCAGCACTGGGGCCTTCGGTGGAGCTCCCTATGGGGCCACGAAACGTGTGAGGGGTGTGCCGAAATGGGTGTGCGGGACGCATGCGGGCGGCAGCACTGGGGCCTTCGGTGGAGCTCCCTATGGGGCCACGAAACGTGTGAGGGGTGTGCCGAAATGGGTGTGAGGGACGCATGCGGGCGGCAGCACTGGGGCCTTCGGTGGAGCTCCCTCTGGGGCCACGAAACGTGTGAGGGGTGTGCCGAATAGGGTGTGCGGGACGCATGCGGGCGGCAGCACTGGGGCCTTCGGCGGAGCTCCTTATGGAGCCACGAAACGTGTGAGGGGTGTGCCGAAATGGAGGAGGGCGGAGGGAGGAGGCAGCGGGAGGATGAGGAAGGAGACGCGGGGCACCGTCTCTCCAAAACGAGGGCCCAACACCACAGGATGGTTGGGAAAAAGAAACATAGGTTTGGTGACACCTGGGAGCTAGCTTGGATATCGAATAAGTCTCAGGCGGTAGCCCCGTCCCTGGGCTTCTTGTGAGAATGCCCGGAGCGCTCGCCTGTGAGTAAGATGCGAGGAAGTCTCTTGCGGGACCCCCCTTGCCTACGGGATGAGGCCCCGCTTCATGTCACTAATATGAGGCGGCCGTCGGCATGACCTGTGAAAACACAGGTTCGGTGGCCCACCTAAGAGTTGTAATCTCGAGGAGGTCTCGAACGGGAGCTTCTCTCCTCAGTAAATTGCGAGGATGTCTGTGACAGGGGGCCTTGTCTACCACAGGAGGCAGCAGGAAGTCCCAGGAGGCTCCAGGAAGCCACAGGAAGTTTCAGGAGGTCTTAGAAGGAGGTGACCTCATGTCCGACTTCGCCCAGGATTTGGCAGCGATTTGCGCGGCGCACCCAAACATGACGCATCGCAAAGCAGCGCATAATACGACGGTGCGCAGCAGTTTGGAGCATGCGGTGACGGCGCAGGAGCTATGCTAGATCCAGAACTGTCGTACGTCCGTCGCCAACGACCCCAGCTCTGACGTCGTGCAACTCGCAGCGAGGCTTTGCACAAGCAGTTGGTGGCTTGTTACAGAAACGCCATGTGGCAAACGCAACGACATGCTCTGTGCATCGCCGCGGCGGTGGGTTTGGCGACACTGTTCGTGAGCTTCTTATCAAGCTGCCAGCGCGATCAAGCGCTTAGTTTTGCAGAGCACGATCTGTTGG